TTAACCTTTTTTTTTAATTAATTTTATACCTCTGAGTGTTCTAATATTTCTGTTTTACATTAACTGAATGAAATATGCATTCATGTCATCTTTTTGAACCTAATTAATCAAATTTAGCAGAGAATTCTGAATTAATGCATATTTATATATCTGTTGAAAACAGGTATAAAGCATGGATAATCAATCAAAGACGTGAAGAATGATAGTTTATACAACTAAGGTCTTAGTGTCTCTAAGAAATTTTTAAAAATGGTCTTATGCTTTTATTTTGATTTTTTAAAGTTGATGATTTTGTCTTTTTACTAAAATTGCTGAAGGGAATGGTGAAGTAGTACTGCAATTCAACCTTTGGTTATTAGTGGAAGATTTTAGTAGCAAATGTATTTGTTGCATATTTGACCTTTTGCCTGCAATATCTAACATGCTAGAGATTCCATTTTGTTTCTTTTTCTTAGCATATTGCTACACATTGTCAATTTTGGTTTTTTTTTTCTTTTTTTTTTTTGGTGGTACTATGGTTTGAAATCAGGGCCTCACCCTTGCTAGGCAGACGCTCTACCACTTGAGCCACTCTGCCAGCCCTTTTTTGTATTGGTTTTTTTCGAGCTAGAGTCTTGTGAACTATTTTCGGGGTTGGCCTCAAACCAGGATGATCTCTGTCTCCTGAGTAGCTAGGATTATAGTTGTGAGCCACCAGCACCCAGCTGTTGTCAACTATTATGTCTTCTATATTTGTACTGTTCCTTCTATTACAAAAATTATTCTCTTGACTTTCTTTGGAGACTTTGATTGTATATCTACTAGGCCATTTGTAGTTGTTCCATGGCTCACTGGTGATCCTTTCTTTAATATTTTTTCTCTATTTTATTTTATATAGTTTTTATTGCTATGCCTTCAAGTTTACTGATTTTTCACCACAATGTCTAATCTGTTATTCATAGTTAGTATTTTTTCATCTCAAATATTGTTTTCATTTCTAAAATTTTGACTTTGGCCATTTGATATCTCTCATGTTGCCATTCAAAATTGTTGGATGTTAGAGGTGCCATTAATAACTTTTAATGTTCCTATCTGCTAATTTTGACATCTTTGTCAGCTCTGGATTGAGTTTTTTATTTGTTTTTTCCCCCTCTCATTATAGTTCATATTTTCCTCCTTTTTTGCATACCTAGTAATTTTCAGTTAGATAGTAGATGTTATGAATTTTATTTTCTTATTTTCCCTGATATTGGATCATTTTGTATCTCCATAAATCTTTTTGAGCATTGTTATGGGCCAAATCTGAGCTTTCCAGGTTGTGCGTGAGAGACTGTTAGGTTAGGCTGGAGCAGTACTGTTTGTGGAACGAGTTATAATCCCTGCAAGACAAGACCTTCCGGGTACTACCCATCAGTGGCCTGTGATTGGTGAGACTTCCAATCTGGCTGGTCAGAGAGCCACTGTTCACGGTTCTGTTTGATACTGGTGGCTTTATCCTCTAATTCTTTCAGATAGTTCTTTCTTGTGTCTGGGTAGATTCCTCAGATCATGTACTACTTAGTACTCAGCCTAATAAGTAAAGAGAAACTTCTGTGGATTTTTGTGCAGATTTCTCCACTCTGGTACTCTGTCCTGCAAACTCTAGCTACCTTAGGCTCTGTCTGGGTTTCCTTTTCTTGTGCTGTGGCCTGGAGACTCTGAAGGTGGTAAGTTGGAACAATCATTGGATTGACTTTGTTTTCCGTCTTTCAGGGATCACTGTCCTTAATTGTACAATGTCTCTTGTCTAGAAAACCATTGTTTCATAAATTGTGTTATTTTTTATTAGTTGTTTCAAGTAGAAAGGTAAATTCAATTCCTGTTATTCCATCTTGACAGAAACCAGCAGTTCTTTCTATTTATTTGAATTTTATAAATCTTTAAAGATTCAGGCAGAATGTACTCTTTCGTGTCTCTCTTTCTCTCTCTCTCTTCTCTCTCTCTCTCTCTTCACTCTCTCTCTCTCTGTGTTTAATAGGTTTCACTTGGGAATGAGTTTTTTTCCTCTTATACCTCTATATTATTTCCTTTTGGCTTGTGTTGATTACTTTTCTGTCCTCCACCCATGGGATGGAAAGCCATCCCCCCAAAATCAGGGAAGTTAATTAACATCGATATATTATTGACTTCATATAAATTTGTCCACTAGTTCCAATTAAGTCTTTTATTACAAAAAGATCTAAACTAGAATTGTGCATAGCAGTTTTAAAACTTTTTCAATCTAAAATAGTTCCTCAGTCTTTTTTTTTTTTACTTTAGAGACCGAAACTTTTGAATCTTACTAGCCAGTTTTGTAAAATGTTTCCCAATTGTGGTTTGAATATTTCTCATATTTTCAAAATATACATCTTTAGCAAGAATATTAGACATTTTTCTCATTGTGTGCTATCATGACAAGTGATTTTAATCTGTTTCATCTGGTATTAGAGCACTTAATTAAGGTAGTGTTTTCTGACTTTTTCACTGGAAAGTTACTGTTTTTCCCTTTTGTAAACAATAAGCATTTTGATGTGAGCTACTTTGAAATGATGTAAATAATTTGTTCATCAAAGCTTTTATTTATGCATTTATTTATGCTGATGTGGAGACTTTTGGACTCCTGTTTTATTCAGTGCATTTATAATCCTAAACCCTTACTTTGAATTTGGTTAGTGAGGCATGATTTTTTTTCTTTTTTCTTTTATGGAAGTGAGGTTTGACCTCAGCACTTTGGGCTTGCAAAGCAGGTGCTCTACTGCTTGAGGTATGTCTCCAATCCATTTTACCCTGTCTTTATTTTGGAGATGGGGTCTTGAGAGCTATTTGCCCAGGCTGGCCTCAAACCATGATCCTTCCAGTCTCAGCCTCCCAAGTAGCTAGGATTACAGGTGTGAGCCACCAGCTCCCAGCTTTGTTTTGCTTTTGAGCACTGTCATGCTTTACAGTGCAAACTGATGAGTTTGCTTTCTTGCATGGACATCCTTTTCATTCAGCTTGGCTCTTATACCCTATTACTGGCTTCTCCTCTGCCCAGTATGGACATTCTTTTTCTCTCTAGCATTTGTGTAAAGCTGTTTACCTGCATAGATTCTCTCCTCACCCTTTTTGGGCCCCAGACCATTTCCCTGCACTATGTGGAGGCCCTTAGAGGGCCTCCATCTTAGAAATCAATACCCTGGGTCAGGTTGCCTTTATGCTAGACTCCTCGGGTCCTCCCCTGGGTTTTGTGCTGGACTGCCTCCCTGTGTGAGTTCCCTCTTTTCTTGTTCATGCTCCAGCACTGTCTCTTTATGCACATGCTTCTGGGGCTACAACCTCCTATGCTAAACTCTTGCCATCACCTTCTCTCGTAGTCATCCTCCTCACCCTCTCACACTCAAGACATTCTGCTCTGGATCATTGCAGGTTCTCTCCTGCCCACCACACTCCACATTCAACATGGACACTTACTTTTGCTTATCCTCACTCAGTAATTTTGCACTTAATTGTTCAAAAGGGAAACATGTAAACCGATAGAAGGAGCAAATGAATCACATGGTATTCTGCTTCTAGTAGATTCTCTTTTTGTTTGTTGATTACGATTCTCTTTTGATAACATTAACAGTCACTTAAGCCTTTCTATTATAATTCATTTTGTTTGTTGATTACTGATTCTCTTTTGGATAACAATAAGAGTCACTTAAGACTTTCCATTACAACTACAAACCACATTTAATAAAGAGTTAAGGGCTAAAAGTAAATTCTCAATTCTTTAAGATATCTGAAAGAACATCAGTAAGTGTCATTTTCAAAATCTAGTTTTAATTCACTTAAATAACTGTACTTTTTACACAGTATTTCAAAACATAATTAAAATACATTTTAAAGTCAATATATTATAGATCTTCATGTAGACGAATATGAAATTCTCTAGTAATTCAACCATATAAATATATGTTAACCTCTTTTTCTGTAACTGTAGGATATCTTCTCCCCCTTCATATTATGGATACTATTTCTCTAACTTATTTTTCTCATTTAATGACATGTGGTAGCTTTTTTTTTTTTTTCTGGTAATACTTGGGTTTGAACTCCCTTGCACTTTTTAGACAAGTGTCACACTACTTGAGCCATACCCCCAGCCCTGTTTGCTTTAGTTGTTTTTTTTTTTTTTTTTGACTAGAGTCTTACCATTCATGGCCAGGCTGGCCTGGACCACAGTCTTCCCACTGATACTTCCTGAGTAGCTGGGATGACAGGCGAGGGTGTCAGGGCACTGAGCTTTTACTGGTTGAGATGTGTTCTCCCTAACTTTTTGTTCAGTTCACAATCCTCCAGATCTCTGCGCCCCAAGCAGCCTGGCCAGTGTTATGGCTTTTATTCTATGTTGATAGACATAGATGAGCTTCATTTTTTAAAATGTTTTTATAATTTTACAATATTCCTTCAAATTATATATGATATTTTTGAATCCATTACTAATGATAGATACTAGGGACTTTTTCTTACTTTTTCTATTATATTTTTAAGATAATAATATCTGTACACACATGCATATGTATTTAAATATATTATTTAGCACAAATCTTAGGATGAGAATGTCTGTGTTAAATGAAATGCGAGTTTTAAGTTTAATAGAATTTGTCAAAGAAAAATAAACTTCTAATTATATTTATATTAAAAGTATATTACCAGTTTCCTCAGACCATTAAGAATGCTGGAAGCATTTGGGTATTAAGAATAAGAATCAAGAAATTTGCAGACTAAGAACTGTCAGTATTAGAGTGTTTGCCTAGCATGTACGAGTTCGTGGTTTCACCCATTCAAAAGGGGTGTGGGAAAGGAAAGTTCTAGGTGAAATACAGAAGTTAAAATTTTTCTTTTCTGTTTGTGGAGGCACCTAGAGAAAGAGAAGCTTCAAAATTTATTCAAGGAGAAAAACAAATGCATTTTAGTAAGTTTTTTTCTTTAATATGAACATATAACTTGGAGGTAGGTCAGACCTTTATATTTGATGTTTACAGTAGTGTAAAGGGGTGGGAGTAGACAAGGAAACCCACCCCAGAAATAGAAGAATGGAATAGTCTGAAGGAGGAAGTTGAAATCTTGGCTCTGAACTTGACTTTCTTGGGAAATTGTGTGAGGGGCTTTAAAGGAGAGAAATGATTGAGGTAATCTACATGGAAGATTATTAGAGAAAGGTAGTAAAAGATATTTCTGGGAGAGAGATAAAATATATTCCTGCAGCAGGCTGACGGAGTAGCTCAAGTGGTAGAGCACCTGCCTAGCTAGCCTAGCAAGCATTAGGTCCTGTGTTCAAGCCCCAGTACTGCCAAAAATAGTGATGTATGTTCCTACAGAAGAAAAATTGTGCCATTTTTTTCTGCAGATAGGAACTATTTAAAATTTTATAGTGTTGTGTGTGATATTTGCCTTCCAGGTGCATTGGATCGTTGTGTGATGGGGATCACAGCAGTAGAGATACTGAATGCTTGCGATGAAGCAGTTCCTGCTGCAGTAGATTCACTAAGTCACCCAGCTGTCAACCTCAAACAAGCTATGACAAGACGTAGTCTTGCTGCCCTTAAAAACATGGCACATCATAAACTGCAAACCCTTGCAACTAACCTCTTAGCTTCTGAAGCATCTGACAAGGTAAGTCGTGTGTGATCTCATGAAGTGTGTAGGCCACATTTACCTTTATTTAGTCACATGGCTTTGGTGTGTCTTAGAGAATATTTTTTGAGAGATGATACTAGTGGAAAATAACCTTCTGATTTTTATTTAGATTTGTTTAGCATAATTTTGGAGTGTTTCAATTATTTGACATTTTGAAAAAGCAAGATTTTTTTGCCATTCAAATATTTAAAAATTATTTCACTGAATTCAGTTGATGTTTGTTTCTGATACTAGAGTAACTGTTATATATATTATTTGTTTGGGTTTTGGCTAGTACTTCTTTTGAAAGATTGAGTACTAGTTAAAGTTCCTAAGAGGAAAACAGATAAGATACAATTAAAACATTTGTATTCATTCTGTATCATTTGTTTTAAAATTAAAATTTGATTTTAGTAAGGTAAGGCCATTAAAAAGATTTAAAGAAATATTTTGAGAATAGGTATGATGGAGTCACACGATAGTGGATTTTTTTCCCCTATGAAACCTAAGCTTAATCACACTTTCATAACTGACATTTATAATCAAGACATGAGTTACTTCTTCACTTAGAGAATATTATCTTGGTTAAAAAAAAAACCACAGACGATCCCAATTCATAAATTGGCTACTTACCTTTTCTTTTGTGTCATATGGTATTGTTACAATTGGTTTACCTCTGGTAGTGGATAAATGAAACCTATAGATAATCTCAACATTTCATCTGAATCATTACTTAAAGTTCTAATTCCATCTCAGTATTCATTAGAGTTATTTATGGGTATGCAAATATGTTTCTTTAATTCTTTTTTAGTCTTGATAGTTGCACATGTGAATAAAATAGCAAAGGGGTGGAAAGGCTCATCTACAGCTTGACAGTTAGCCATGAGCTAGTGAGTGCTGGCAGCACGTGAAAAACTGTGGGCAGTTCCACTGACCTGCAGTCCTCCAGTAACTGGCAGTAATATCACCCTTTGATCATTCTTTCCTTCCCTAAGATATAAATGTTTTATTGGGTCTGTTGTATTGTATATTTCATAAATTGGACTTGGGAACTTTTCTATACTTTTTCTCCGTGCTTTCAGTGCCATGGTCTAAAGTTTAAATGCATTTTTGTACCTGTCATTTTTTTACAAGGAACCACATTATTTATCACTAGGAATTCAGTATTTATGCATAGCACATTGTCTCATAGACATACTATGTGATTTTAATTTTGAGCAAATGTATAAAACAACACATGCAAGAGCATTCATGTATGTTTTATTCTGTTTCTGGTATACCTTAGAAATAAAATATATTATATCTTTCTTGATGATATCCTTAGAAATAAAAATTTAAAAAAATGATTATATAACTTGAAAATTAAAGAAACATAACTGGTACAGTAACATTTATGAATGGCTTTTGTAAGTGGTCATGGTCCATTATGTGATTTTTACAATCTTGTTTGTCCCTGTTTTAATAGCACATTTTATAGTGCAATTAGTGATAAAAGCACCAGATATCAGAGACACTACACTTTTGTATTGTAAAATATATTGCTTGTGAACCTCCTCAGTCTTGTAGTAGAGGTAATTGTTGCCTAGCCTACAAGGAAAACAATTATAGAAGGAGGAAAAAAGCTTAGGAAGCTGAGGCTGCAGGAGGATAATCACTTTATGAAAAATGTATGTTGGCTGCACCATTAGGGATTTCTTTAGCTATTTTCTCATGTTGAGGCTCCTCTGAGGAGAATATTGAAAGAGCTGTCCTGTGGATGGCTTTCTAACCTCAGGAGAAATAAACCCACCCAAAGTTAAAAAGCAAAACAAAAACCGTAACTAAGAGCTTCTCAGAGATACAAGATTTGCTCTAGGATATGGGATGTTATATTTTACCTGGGTCTTCCAGCAGAATGTAAAAATTTCTATTGGGATACCCTACAGAGAGCATCCTGCTTTGCCTTTTGCCTTGTTAGAATAGTATTAGCTATCAGGGTTATTTGGATGTAACAAATGTTTTATTTTTCTAATTGTGTTAATTATACTGGGTATACAAAGCTTTGCAGTCAAGGATGGAATTTACTATGATTTTTTTCTCTTATTTGACCAACAAGAGTTTATTAAGTAAACATATTCTTTATTACTGCTTTGAACCTTTACAAGGTGGTGTGTATTTGAACCCTTTTGTATTTCTCTTAAAACATGTCTTATTTTCCCTCAAGTTATGACATAAGCTTATCTAATTTTCCCTAGTGAATCCAGTTTTTTTGAGGGCGAGGATTATGACTTGTTTATCTATGTGTTTTCCTCATTGCATTTAGTAGTAGCTGTGTAATAATTATTTGTTGTACTGGATTATGTGTAACAGAAAAACTAATAGGCTTTTTTTGTTTTTGGATGGTACTGGGATTTGAACTCAAGGCTTCATACTTGCAAAGAGGTGCTCTGTTGCTTAGGCACACCTCCAATCCATTTTGCTGTGGTTATTTTCGAGATGGGGTCTTGTGAACTATTTGCCCTAACTGGCTTCTCCTGATCTCAGCCTCTGACATAGCTAGGATTACAGGCATGAGCTTCTGTGTCTGGCTTGAGTTTTATGAGTTCTGGTTTTTTAGTGGGACTAGGTTTGAACTCAGGGATTCACACTTGCAAAACAGGAGTTCTGCCACTTGAGCCACACTCCAGCTTCTTGCCCTGTTTTCTCCTTTGCCTTGCAATTGATTGTCTTGAGGCCCCTGCTCTGCAGTCTCAAGTTAATCCCTGCTCATGAGCCTCTAGATGGGGAACCTTCATCGGGAACTTGCCCTCTCTTCAGTTTTGCACTCTCTTTTTTGGCTTTGGTGAGCAAGGTTATCCAGGCACAAATTATTCTTCTTCCTTGCCATCTCTGTATTGTCAGTGTTCTAATACAACCTAGAATTATTTCAGCTTTGTCCTCTCTTTTACTTCAGCTGCTTCTGGCTCTGGAACCTGGTTGCTCAGCTGTAGTGCTGTGGGCATTCTGCAGGGGTAGTTCTTTGTGGTACAGGACTGTATTCTATACTGTAGGATGTTGTATGGCATTTTCTCTGCCCACTTCACACCAGTAACACCTCTGTCTCCTTAACTGTTGCACTCAAATGTCTCCAGGTATTGCTAAATTTCCCCTGAAAGACAAAATTGCCTCTGGTTTTAAAATCTCAGTTCTAGTGGAAAAGGTTGAAGAGGAATTTTATGTACTAAATCCTATCCCTCTTTTTTGTTTTTCATCTTTCTTTAATCTCTTTCTTCTTTAGGATCTCTCTTTTTTTCTTCATTTTTATTAGCTTATATTCATTGTCCTCTTTAGCAACTCTGCTCTCTCTGTCAGAATTACTACATGATTCTTGTGCTTGTATCTCCCCATTCACACACTTCCTAAGTCACTTTTCACTTTGCGTAGGAATTTTTAAAAATTTTATATCTCTCTTCCCAATTAGCTATTGGGCTTCCTGAGAGTAGGAATCAAGTGTTTCTTCTTTTTATTTTCAGCGCTTAATGCAGTATAAATAAACTACATTGTAGTATCACAGTATAATTGCACCCAGTAGGGTATATCCTACTAAAGCATGGTAATGCCCAAGAAAATACAGGTTTGGAGACATAGTAATTGGGACTAGAACTAGATTAGGGAGTCGAATATAGATGAAGTTTGTAAGTTGCATAAATAGGTTCTCACAAATGAACAACAGTAGATTTTGATGTTCAAAATTATTTCAGAGATACAGATCCAGCCGAAGGGAGAATGTCAGTTCTGACAGAAGTAGGCAAGCCATGAAATAGGCTTTGAGGATGATTGTAATAGGAGACAACTGGTGGCATTGGGAGATGGGTGTGTGCCTTGGGGCAGCAAAATACCTCTGAGTAAGATGTGATGTGATGGTGAGATAGAGCAGGATGGGGTTACTATTTTTTTCCTAAATAAGTCCAGAGCATGGGTTAGACTGCAGTTCCCATTTTGGAGTACCAGCCATCATCAGATTTTTCCAGATATCCCCTCTTCTTATCTTCTTTAATATCACTGTAAATAGGTAAGTTGGTTATTACTGCCCCCAATTTCCAGATGATGAACGCTGACAATAGTTGGATAGATCTAAGTTGGCAAACTCTATAAAGGGCTAGGTAGTAAATATTTTAAGCTTTGTGGGCTTTCTCTGTTATAGTGAGTTACTCTGCATTATAGTGTGAAAGCAGTCATAGATACTATGTAAACAAATGAGTATGACTGGCTTGCAATAAAACTTATTTATGAAAGCAGGTGGCGGGCTGGATTTGGTTCACTAGCCACAGTTTGCCAACTCCTGCATCAGAAGATGGCATTATTAATTTCAGAGTTGTGGATAGAGGTTCCCATGCCATCACCCTTGCTCATTTTTGGAAAAAAAAGAAGTGGTGAAGAGCCTGGGTTCTGGTGCAGGTAGGTCTATGTTCAGATTACATCTCTCTAACTTGCTGGTTGTGGGTGACCTTGGACTAGTCACTATGAATCCCCCTGTATAATGAATATATCCTAATAAAAATTTATAATAAAAAATAAAGTGGGTGGAGATCAGGTGTCTGAGAGCAGTCTCATTGCAACTGTAAAAAAAATAATAAAAGGGAAGAAGTGAGTATAATCCCTTAAAGGCAGAGCCATCTCCTTCTTCTTCTCTTTCTTTCTTTTTTTTTTTTTTAAATCATCATACCATCTGGCATAAGTAGTGCACAGGATTAGGAGTTTGAAATTTGTGAAATAAAAAATGATTAGTTAACCATAGATTGCACGTAGTGGTATTTGATGATATACAAATGAATATGTTAAGAAGATGGTCTGAGTATGTGGAGTAACCTGTTGGATGAATTTTCTCATAAAGGATTTGCTGCAGACACTGATTCTTTGGAGGAGATCTTGGGGATGTTGTCAGTCAAAGGAATTTTTATTACTGAGGCTATCCTTACTGCCACGAAACTCATTTCTTAGGCCCAGTGTGTGGGGTTTTTTTTCAGCACCTTTACATC